GTATTGCTGTCTGATTTGAATGTCTTTGTCACGAAAGATTTCTGGTAAAGTATACACCTAAATATTTATGGGGCTATATATTCATGAATACTAGATTCTAGAACAACTGCTACTGTTAGACTCAACAGAACAAACATATAAGATGGAGGTTGTTTCAAACGACAAGATTCGTTCTCTTAGAACGGGGACTACCAAGAAAAGGACCAAACGTGTTTACGAGGGAAACACATAACAAGGAGCTGGTGGCACCTGAAACAAAGCGTTCGTGCGTGGAACTTGACATACTTTTAAGACAGAGTTAGCCCTAAGATCGCTTTGCAGAACGGGCCCCAGGAATTTATATCGGTTAATCCTGCGATGTTGTAGCCTCAGATTGGAGTGTTCCTGTCTCCTTGGTCTTCCAGACCGCCTCCGTGGTGTAGTGGTTAGAGCGTCCGCCCGGAGAGCGGAAGGTCGCGGGTTCGATCCCCGACCGCGTCATACCAAAAAGACGTTAAAATATGGTACTTGTTGGTCCCTGCCTGGCGCTCGGCATTAATGGGTACAACAAGGACTGGTCGGCTCGGAGTCAGTATTGGCTCCTCTATATTCTATATTATAAACGGAAGAAGCCTTTTGATGTAAACACAGTTAATTACAGAGACAAAGTGCCAGTCGAAGTGGCTATCAAACAACATACCTAAACGAGGCTATCAATTTGTAATAAAACACTTGTTTCTCTACGCATATCTTTTTTATCTGTGTGTCAATGTTTATATACATTTACCATGATAATGAACGTTAAGATCATTCCGCACATGGCCATACCCAACTCTAAAGAGTTGTCATCTCACATTCGTAATCCAGTCTCTTTCTCCAATTATCATCATTTAGGGGTGTTTGTATGAAGGCATAAAGAGTATCTTAACCAGTCTTTAAAACATATATAAGTATTCATTGTTTTATAAGCTTTACATTAAATGCTTATTTGTTTTATCCAGATTCGTGTCGTTTTTGTAATAGTAAGGGAAGCAACTCTTGCTTGAACTTGGGTCTTGATTCAGTAGTCCGGACTATTCGCAATCCGGACGAATTTGCTGAGAAACGCAACCGTCCGGATTAACGAGGCTTCACTGTACACACACAATACATACAATACTTTACAATACAACACACAGTACATAAATGGTGGGAACACTCACCATACGTCATAACACTAGATGTATAGATTTAAGTCCAAGAACATACTGACAACAAATAATTGAATTTTCTCTATAACGTCGAAACATTCTGAACGAAATTAGATTAATTTAAACATAACATATTTTAAAAATGATTTAAGCGAAATATCTCCTTGGACTCTTTATCTGTTGAAACACTTAAAACATATTTTAGCTAGTATTGCTGTCTGATTTGAATGTCTTTGTCACGAAAGATTTCTGGTAAAGTATACACCTAAATATTTATGGGGCTATATATTCATGAATACTAGATTCTAGAACAACTGCTACTGTTAGACTCAACAGAACAAACATATAAGATGGAGGTTGTTTCAAACGACAAGATTCGTTAAACATTCGTTCTCTTAGAACGGGGACTACCAAGAAAAGGACCAAACGTGTTTACGAGGGAAACACATAACAAGGAGCTGGTGGCACCTGAAACAAAGCGTTCGTGCGTGGAACTTGACATACTTTTAAGACAGAGTTAGCCCTAAGATCGCTTTGCAGAACGGGCCCCAGGAATTTATATCGGTTAATCCTGCGATGTTGTAGCCTCAGATTGGAGTGTTCCTGTCTCCTTGGCCTTCCAGACCGCCTCCGTGGTGTAGTGGTTAGAGCGTCCGCCCGGAGAGCGGAAGGTCGCGGGTTCGCTCCCCGACCGCGTCATACCAAAAAGACGTTAAAATATGGTACTTGTTGGTCCCTGCCTGGCGCTCGGCATTAATGGGTACAACAAGGACTGGTCGGCTCGGAGTCAGTATAATGTGTCTGAGTGGGGTATTCATGCTTCACTGCGGCATGGTATCTCAGTGGGCTAGCACTATAAAACCAGCTTCAGTCTGGGCTAGTACAAGCAGCCGCACATACACATACACACGCATGCACGTCGTCATATGAGCGAAATATTCTCAAGCACGACGTTAAACCCAATTTCACCTCACCTCACCACCTTGGCCTACCAAGGTATGACTATCTTAAAGAACAAATAAACTTTGTTTGTTTTTACTCTTTTAACTATGACATATGAAAGATTTGTGGTCAGTCCTATGCGGAACACCAAATTCATTCTTTAAAAACTTTAAATTAGTACCGAGCGATTAAAAGTTGCCAAAAAGTCGCCTGCTTCACTCTCGCCCGCCAACGAAACCACAGACAGGTTACGTCTGTCGCCAGAGCACTGCAGTGACGTCATATGAAGAAGGATTTTCAGTTAGTTGTATAGAAAGTGTGTAGCAAGCTCGTCATTTTGATGATTTCTCGACATCAACCCGACATCAACGAAGACATGCCAAATCGTTGCGTTGTCGTCAATTGCTCCTAGAGGTCGGGCGATGGTGTCGCCATGCACAGATTTCCACAAGACCCCGCAGTTCGTGCAAAATGGGTTATGTTTGTGAGTGCGAAGCGAGCGTTGTGGAAGCCTGAAACGATATCTTACTTGTGTTCAGATCGCTTCACGGAAGTTAAAGAATCAAAACTACTTACTAGTCATAGTAAAATATGTATATGATTGATGACCATAAAGATTTTCCATGACACAACTTGTAACATAACGATTTCTGCCTCAGAAGCGAGGTTGTGGTCGAAGTAACAATAATACTGTAAGTAGTATTATATTGACACCCACCTCGCTTCCACGAGAGATATTGTTATGTTATACGCTATGTCATGCAAAATCCTATTGGCCATCAATCAAATACATATTTTACTACCAGTAGAAAGTAGTTTTGATTTTGTAACTTTGTGAAAACAAACCTAAATAGCATTTATACTCAGACTGGCGGATGTTCGCGACAGGGCGCCGCCATTTTTGACAATCGTGAAGTCACGGGCTAAAGTCTGTTAGAATTAATGAGATTATGGTTTGTTTTCATCAAGTTAGAAAATCAAAACTACTTTCTACTCGTAGTTAAATATGTACTTGAACCATAACCAAAAGCATTTTGCATGACACAACTTATTACATAACGATTTCTTCCACGGAAGCGAGGTGGGGGATCGAAGTGACAATACTGCGCAATACATTTCTTGCTACATTCACGTGGTTAACGTGCACTCACCAGTATGTAGATACTAGTTAATGTACGTCTTTATATTTGGTCTTATAATCCTAATTAGTTTATTATCATACTTGTATGCATTTTGAAACTAAATAAAAAGCAGACGATGTGCTGATACTTATAGTGCATTTATAACAGGACTAATATCTAGACGTTTTATAGTTTGCCAATGTGAATCATAATTCGCACACACGCCCTAGTGTATGTCTCATTACACTTCACGACGAAAACAACGATTCTGTTCAATGCTACGACAAATGAATAAAAACAAAATGCAAATATTAAAATTAAAACAGATTAAAGTTATAGGAACAATGTCAGGCTATTACCTTGTTCGAGGAATGTATCCATCAATATCCACAAAAACGACTGATATGCCATTCATCTGCAGCTGTTCCAAGTAATGTGTCTTTTAACAGTCTAGTATACGAAAAAGTGATATATCGTTTCAGGTATGTCACATTGGTGTATAGTCTCATTGGTCACCCAAGATAGCACACCTGGCAACCGATTGCATAATGTCCGCCATTCTTTAAAAACGGTAATTTAGTTAGCCAATAATGAGCAATTAATCACTGTATTGGCGGTTAATCCTTTGAAGGAAGGACGTTGTTTTTACGCAGACACAGACACGACAGAGTGTATTCAGTATAGATTAGTAAATCTACATACATAAACACTACCTTTTGACAAATCCGCTGTGTAAGATAACAGTAATTAATCAATAAGCTTGTTATCGGTTAATCCTTTGATCGATGTTTATAATGTTGAATATTTACTCCAGACAAACCTTTGTCGGGTAATCTAAGTGGTTTTACCACTAATTATACCTGTTATAAATTCATTAACTGACCATCAAGTGAATGATGACAAATAACATGTGTAGGTTTATACCACCTAACACGGGTTACAACGAGGGAGTATTAATTGCTGTATGTGAAAACTTATGGGCCGACACTGTTTTGAGAATACAAACAGAACTTCATTGTTGCATAAGAAATACATATAAGCATTTGCTGTGTGCTAAAACTGAATGTACCTATTTACCTAAGTAAAATTTCAAATTCTTCTAGCAATGGCAAAATAGGGTTGTTTAGTTTACCGATTCAAATAAATCAAATGTCAATTTTTAATATCATACGTAATAGACGTCATATTTTTACATGACAGGATTAAATATCGAGGTAAAAAACCACAGTAATGGGATCAATTTGGATCAATCATTATACAAATAAGGCCTAACGAAACCAAGCGATTTTGACAGAATCGTCTATGAAAACAAGTTGTAACTCGGAAACGATTCAAAGCAGGAGACAAAATTAGATGACAGTAGATTGTGAGAACATATAGCTTTCATTTTCCACAACAGTTGTCACGATTTCAGGTTTATACAAACCTGGAAACAAGATAATTTACCCCCTGAAATGTAGATGAATTCTGCATCGGCCCTCATGTCTACTCCTCATATGACGTCACAGAGACGCTCCGCTCTGATTGGTTGAAATTTCGTTCGCGGGTGAGAATTGTGCACTGTTGTCAAAAAGGTCGATTTAAGTTGATTAAAGAGTGAGTAGTTTTAATGAAGGGGTTTCATTTATAGCGATGCCAGTTAGTGATTTATGTATTTGTACCCCCCTAGAGTATACGCGCAGACATCTCACAATTAATACGTGGAGAAAACTGGCAAGGTTTACCAAACATATTCCGTCAAGGCAGTGTGAGGACACAAAACACTGTCGTAATCTGTGAATTTATTTCTCAAGCTGCTGAGGAGAGGTTTACAAGACGTTGGTTTAAACAGAAATGCCATGTTAGCCAAATGTCCGTGTGTCACTGCGTACCATGTAAATTTCATGGCAACCTGTTCGCTCCATGCCAAACATTGACTTGTATGCAGGAATCATATTTTTATTTGTATGGAATATCCTAAATCCAGCATTATAGAAGTCTCTCAGCAGCTCCAGACCTCTTAGGTACTTGTCTATATCCGGCTCTGGGTTAAGTGGCATCTTGATATGAATTTCAAAACAAAACTGTTTCACATTTTTCAAACTTCCGCTTTGTAACATTTCAGGAAAGGCAAACCACTCCGAAGCTTCAATATCAATCTTGAGCAGATCGATTATAGCCTAGAATAGAAAATACGTTAACGGAGTTAATACAATCGAGTTAATATACGTGTATCCTGTACAGTGAATATGCCCCGTGCATTACAATGTTGAAGGACACACTAGTTAGGGGCATCATTTTTTTAATGTGTTTCACGTAGCCAACAAATTCTGAACATGTGTCAGTCGGTCGGGAAAAAAGCCCCAACTTAATAAAGACAAAGTTATCTGTATTATGTTCTTGATTCTCATTTATTGTAATTCTTATTAGAATTTCCCGCGTTCCTTGGACTTGTGGCAGCGACTGATTAGAAGGTAAACATTTTAAATGACGAGGCGGTGCGCGAGTTGGCGGTTTTGGAATGAAAAAAACCCGTGTGTGTGTGTGTGTGCGTGTGCGCGCGTGCGCACAATAGAATTAGAAGGGTCGGCCGGGCGATGAGAAACAGAGAAAATACAAATGCTGCCCTCACAGTAACTCTATTACTAACATTTTGCGTTCATCGCGTTAAATATATTTTTGTTTTTTAACACTCCGCTCAGTAGTATTCCATCACTGTAACTCTACATGTATTATTTATACATTATATCCGAACATAACCAAAATAGCCTATAGTGGATCCATTGATATATCAAAGTAACTGACTGCATGATGTAAAATGCCAAGATATTAAGGATAAAACTGGATACTTTGTAGTTGAGGTGATTTGAGGGAACCATAAAGATACAGGTGATGTTACTGTTATGTCCAAATTGGATCGTTTACCGTTAGTCGCCACCTTGCTGGGATATTGCTGAGTTTGGCTTTCAGCCACAAACACGTTGAGAAAAATAGTGATTTTAAAAAAGATTTGCTGCCATTATTATACGTCCCATTCTCTGCTGAGATTTGGAATGCGTTCTACTGATGTGAACCTATTTATCAAATGGAACATATATTATGATCAAAAAAGATATTATTTCTAATAACACCTGTATGACAAATAAAGTTACTTTCTAGGCATGTTCTGTTTCAATGTTTGAAAACAATTTTGAAACAGAGTATTCTCAACTGCTAATCGAACTCGGGCGAACACGAGACAGACCCAACAGTAATATTAACAGAATGTTGCAATAGCTACAATATGACGAAATGTAATGGGCAGTGACACCTGTCAAGACATAACTTCTGATCCATACGAAACGGCAGTGGTGGTGCAGTTATGTATTGCCGGCACTGCTGACAATATGGGCGTGAGTGAGTGAGTGAGTGAGTGAGTGAGTGAGTGAGTGAGTGAAGTGAGTGAAGTGAGTGAGTGAGTGAGTGAGTGAGTGAGTGAAGGGAGGGAGGGAGGGAGGGAGGGAGGGAGGGAGGAGCGAGCCCGGGTCTTCGGAGTGACAAGCGAACGCTTTAACCACTAGGCTACCCCACCACTGATAACGTCAAACAGCCAAAAGGTTATTATCCCAGTGTTGACGTTCCCTACACAAAAAACACCCCTGTACGATAGGTAGTGAGTTGGGGGAGCACACGCGGACGTCGTGATCGATGCGGACATTATTGCAACATCTGGACATAAACACTTACAAACGCTGCGTGCCTTTCTGAGTTGCTGTTTGCAACAGATGTCGTAATGCCATTGTTCAGAATGTTGAATAAAGTCTTAACGTGTATATGCGTTCAATAAAGATTGTTGGAGTGTGTGGTTCACCACATACATTGGGATCCGGGTTAGAATAGGTCTTCAGCAACCCATGCTTGTCGTAAGAGGCGACTAACGGGATCGGGTGGTCAGGCTCGCTGACTTTGGTGACATCGTATCCCAATTGAGTAGATCGATTCTCATGTCGTTGATCACTGGATTGTTTGGTCCAGACTCAATTCTATACAGACCGCTACCATATAGCTGGAATGTTGCTGAGTGCGGCGTAAAACTAAACTCACTCACTCATATAGCTTGTGCCCATGGTCACTGGTCATATCACTTACCACATGCTGCAGTTATTTTGTTCCTTTTTAATTCATTTTACATAGTTTGTTTCCCCAAAAATTCGTTTCCTGTTCTAACACGTCTTAGATAGCGTAAAATACATCCTTCTTACCTGTGTGTGATTATTTTCCTTTAAAATGGACGAGAAGGTTCGCATTCTCCAACCCTTGTTGTTTGTACTGTCGGTAGAATTAAGGCCTGTCTTATGGAAATGAATGTTACTTCTCCTGTCGTGGTCTGATACTCTGGTCATGCTGAAACAATATATTTACAAAGAGTGTTTGTGTGTTTTTGTGTGTGCGCCCATGTGCGTGTGCATGTACGTGAGTGCGTGCGTGTGTATGTGTGCGTGTTTATGTGGTTATTAAATTCATAAAGGTATATGGGGCCTATAGTGTAAAGGCTGCAAAAACTGAAAAACTGCTAAAGGTCGGGATACACTCACTAAACGTTCATGTGTATTTGGGGCGATGGGGTAGCCTAATGGGTAACGCCGAAGACCCGGGTTCGATTCCCAACACGGGTGCAATATGTGAAGCCCAATTCTGGTGTCCCCCGCCCTGCTATTGCTGGAATATTGCTAAAAACGTCTTAAACCATACTCACTTACTCATGTGCATGTTTGTTATGCGTTAAACATAATGACTACACAAATACGATTCGCTTACGGAAATGATTCACCAGTATCACGTTTCCACAAACATACAAATAACCCAACCGCTGACATCCAACACCCTAGAGTATTTAATAGTCAATTTATAAATAAATATAATTTATAGTTTAGTTCCTCAAATAGACGTGGGGCGGTGAGGTAGCCTGGTGGTCAAAGCGTTCGCTCGTCACACCGAAGACCCGGGTTTGATTCCTCACATGAGTACAATGTGTGAAGCCAATTTCTGGTGTCCCCCGCCGTGATATTGCTGGAATATTGCAAAAAACGGCGTAAAACCATACTCACTCACTCAAATAGACGTACCTAGTACTGACACTATATATCCATAGCCATTCACAATCTGCTGGAATAAAAGAAACGTTACCCTCCTTCCTTAATGACGGAGGTACCTATCTTCAGCGTCCACGTCTTGGTCTGTCTACGGTGCCCCAGTCTGCATGAAGCCTCCCACATAAGTTTTATAACCGTGATACGGTGGCATCCGAGGGCGTTGGCAACAGCATTGTATGTCGACCCCATCTGCACCATCCCAATGACTTTTTCTCTCTCTTCAGCTGTTAATCGTGGCATATTTCTCGTACTTGTATATCTTATAATCTTTTCTAGGCTCTCTTCATACCCTATAGAATCATTCTACATGTGAAATGGATGCAAATACTGCTTGAATTTTGCTGCGTTTTGGCGATTGATAATGCTATGTGTAAACAGAAAATGGAAAAATGTTACTTTGCAAGTAAAAATGGTAACAAAGATCATTGTAGAAATTCCTAAACATTTTTTCACAATATCAAAGACACTTTTTTCATGTTTTCACTAATGCAAATCAGCAGAAAAAGTTTTAAAAGACTGAAATCATAGGAATGATTATTTTCCAATTTTACACACTCTACAACAGTTGTTTCTTGTTTTAATAGTTGAAAAATGGTGATATTAAATGGTTTATCTTTGTCCCAAAGTAGAATTTTATTTCAACCTTTCTTTTGGACATCTAACTTACTGTTATTGGTTTATTTCGGCATGGACGAAAATAGGACAATTTAACTCTTCTGAAAAAGATGCATTTCACCTATATATGAATGCATTTGAGAATTTATTTTGGTGATTTCGTGTTGTTAAGCTTTCTTGTAAACTGATACCTTCTAACATATCTTTGATAGTTTTTAAGTAATTCATAAAGGTAGGAGGGAAACGTTTCTTTTGGCGTCTAGTGTATTTCATTCTATGACTTTTATCGGGTTTCTATAGAATAACAGCTTTTTGAAATAATATAAACTTACTGAGTGTTCCGGGGTAACTTGAAGGGGTATTTCCTCATTAGTGAATTTGTAGGCTGTGCCTCACCATAAGATTTTCGTGAGAAAATTTGTAAAAACTATTCCTTTCGCTAGATCATCATTTTCTGAATGCAATTGTCTTTCTACGATTCATCTTCTAACTCAGTTGAAACCTAATGCAGCGTTCATTTGGCTGCGGCACATAATTGTTTTATTTCTGGTGTATTTTCAAGTTCATGTCGCATGCAGATGGACATTCCTGTTGGGTTTTGCTTCATTCATCACAGAAATGTTTTTTTTCTCCTATCCTCCAATGCAAGCATAGCCTATGATGTAGCAACAATGATTCTCTTGAATGTCTGTGAAGTGTACTGTGAAGGTATACTAGGCTGCTGACACATTGCAGAAGGAAACGTCTACGTCATGCATTTCAAGATCTAAAGTCAAATCCATCCACACATGCAAGTTAGAAGTTGTATATCCAAGCACAGCCTACATGACAACGTGTAAGTGCACACAGCAATATTTGATGAGCATATCTTTCGAAGGTATAGCTTAATGTGAAATTAAAAAAGCGCTCAAGTCAGTGTCGGAAACACGGCAAATGCGATAATATCAAGCATTTTCTATCGTGTTTGTCTGTGTTACAATAGTGTAAAATCTGGCTTTTGGACCCGTATTTATGAAAGCACACACCTTGGATCATACGAGTGGACATGGCAGCCATATGCTGTAGCTACATCGTCGTCGAAGCTCCAGTCGTAGTTGATCCTGAAAGATGTACGGTGGAACTGATCAGGAGAAAAGACTATACTCGGACGCACGCACGCACGCACGCACGCACGCACGCACGCACGCACGCACGCACGCACGCACGCACGCACGCACGCACATACACAGTGGAACAACGTGCCCAATGTTTTCCGAGGATTACACAAATTATGTTCTGAGTGAGGTGCGAAAACTCTAACCTCAAGGCTCCCTAACTTACAATACCTATATTTCATATTTTATAACAAAACACACACACGTCGCTGGAAGTGTGAACCTGCTGGTGGTTATTCAATTAGAATTATTGGCAGTCCGTCACAATAGTGGCCTAGTGGTTAAAGCGTCCGCTCGTCACGCCGAAGGCGCAGAGTTCGATTCTCCACATGGCTACAATGTGTGAAGCCCATTTCTGGTGTCCCCCGCCGTTCCTGCTGGAATATTGCTAAAAGCGGCGTAAAACCCAACCCACACACTGGTTTTAACATATTTTATTCACAAATATTAAAGGGATTCGGGACAAATTATCCAAATTAAAATACCCGCTACCCAATATTTACATACATACATTTTCAATTATATGCATCTTAAGAAAGAATAGAGAGAAGAGATAGGAAAGATAAAGAGAGAAGAGAGGAAGGGACTCAATTTATGTCATCACTCAAAACGTTTTGATTGATGAATAAAAGTTTGTACACATCTGAAAACGTATTCATTCACTCACTCACCGACAATATCGATGATAATGAAGTATAGATGTAACTAGTCATCAGAGCTTGTCACCAGACATGGGCATTTTCAACGTATGAACAATTTGATCAATCTTTGTCAAATGTGATACAACTATCTGGAATGAATATAACAGACCTACCCAAATGAGTATATATTGCAGGGTGTCTTCATTCCGTAGGGAAGGTCTTCACAAACGTTCCAACCGCCGTCAAACGCATTGCCTCGCCTGACCACCTTTTTACACGAAATCTGTACGCTGTTCACATAGCTGAATAAAAAAACCCATTGAGTTATTTACTCTCGTTCAAACTCAAAAGCCCCTTCCTTGAAAACAACAACTTAAATAGGCCATTAATCCTTACCCATAACACGTTAATCCAGATATGCGTTGGACAATTACATTTTTGCAGCTTTAAGGGAATGGAATGTTTTCTGGCTGCCTTTCATATACATCTTTATCATTATCGTTTGAAAACGGGACAAAATATTCATAGAAACTTTTACCATAATGGCGCTATTAATTGCAGAGCACGAGCTTATTAGATCAGAGTTACGAAACTCTTTGCATTCTTACACATAGAGCAAATAGGGACACTGGCATGACGAGTTTACACTTGTTTTTTTGAGCCTGTCCCCTGCTTATGGGCGCATCACAAGAAGGGCAAAGAGAGATTGGGATCGGGGGGAATGGGAGACTAAGGGCCTTCAAACACAACTCAGTATGTCAGGTTAAAACTTAAAGATGTAAATCAGGGTCCTGGACCCTTATTTTCGAAACGTTCGTAGCCCTACGAACTTCTTAAGCCCATTCTTAACACATTGGCTACGATCAAAGTTAAGAATTCTTACGCTACGAACGTTTCGAGAATAAGGACCCTGATCCACAAACCGTTCGCAACGTTACGACTTGTTGTAACTCTATTGGTTTATCAATGGCTTACGAATGTCGTACCGCTACGAACGTTTTGTGGATCATGTTTCACAGTGCATTTCTGATGCGAAAATCCTGGATGTCAATCAATAAACTAAAATTGAATGACAACAAAACTGACATCTTGCTGACCGGTTAAACCATGAATCGGACCAAGGTTAAAGGGGACTCGATTACAGTTGGTCACTCCGTGCTACCTTTCAGTACAACAGTAAAACATCTTGGGGTCATCATGGACTCAAACCTTTCTATGGAGGACAATATCAATAACGTGTGTCGTACATGCTATTTCCATGTGAGGAACATCGCCAACATCCGTCACCTGTTGACATGTGATGCATCACACTATTTGGCCAGATCCATGATCCTCTCGCGGTTGGATTACTGCAACAGTGGGTAATGTGCGTGAGGATCTTGTCACCAAATTACAGCGCGTTCAGAATGCAGCTGCACGGACCATCACCAGAAGCAGGGAGCGGTCACACATCACACCAGTCCTTGTCAAGCTCCACTGGATGCCGATCAAAGCAAGGATCGAATACAAGATCTTGTGCATCACATACCGCTGTATCAAAGGCTCAGCTCCATCCTACCTGACCAACATGGTGAAAGATTATGTTCCTCCTCGATGCTTCAGATCAGCTAACAACTCACTGCTCACAATTCCCACAGCCAAACTGAAAACCTTTGGACATAGACGCTTCTCTTTCACATCCGCCTCTCTCTGGAATGATCTGCCTTTCTTCATTAAAAACTCTAGAACACTGTCTACCTTCTAGTCAACCTTCCAACTTTCCTCTTCCGAAAATGTCACCCTGATGCCTAGTCTAGCTGTGTTATCAAAAGCGCCGCGAGCAATCACTTGGTGTTTGGTAACACCTGGTTTGCGCTATACAAGATGACTTATTATTATAATCAGGCCGAACCAGAATAGGAACCTGTGATCATTGGTTATAGGCGTGCTCAAGTGATGAAGCTGTGCACAACGAACTGCACCAAATTGATGCGATTTGACATGACAGTCTGTGTAAAAAGTGATACTTGCGTCTAACACTTGCTTTGGTATCAACGGTCGGTGATCATAAACCAAGGCAAGTATAGAGCTAGAACCTTGGAGTCAAACTCGGATCATTGCCCGATTTAGGGACGCTCATAAGGTAGGAACTTTAGCCCTCTTGACCAACCATTCTCTCCTTGCGTATATACAGGATTCTCCCTGTGAGCTGAAGAACGCACGACTATTTCACACTTGATACATAGCTGTGTAAACTTTTCCTATTTTTGTTTTCTTTGTGTAGATACAAAAATGTTTGATTTAATTATGTTTTTCGAACACTATCTTTCACTATCATTATCTTTTCTGATCGAAATGGAAAAAGACATACACGCTGGTATTTGCATGAGTTCCAGGTAATCAAAGTATATTGTTCATTTGTTTTTACTTGTGGTATATCTGTGACAGCTGTCGTCTGTCCAACGTCTTCAGCACCTGCAGCGTGGGCATGGGTTGTCCTGCTGTCACGGGATTCTGAAATATCAAAAGAAGAAAGTGACAAAATCGGACAACATGTTTGATCATATACCTATATCTATATGATAAAGACCAATAGCGTTAAATAGTATGTAAGAGATCAAAACCAGAAGCGGATAACATTCAACTCCCAGAGCGTGTCACCTTGATTTTGGAAGGTGATGTCTCCTACTTTGTTTGAAACCAGTGAGCACTGGTAGGGTGATAACAAACGTAATCGAGGAGAATCGGGATCCTGGCTTGCCCAAGGGACGCAACTCTGCGCAACGAACTTGATGACTAGGTTTCCTGTGAATTGGATGACAAGGCCTCCTGTGAATTACATGACTAGGTCTCCTATGAATTGGATGACCAGGTTTCCTGTGAATTGGATGACTAGGTCTCCTGTGCATCGGATGACTAGGTCTCCTGTGAATTGGATGACCAGGTCTCCTGTGAATTGGATGACTAGGCCTCCTGTGAATTGCATGACACGGTCTCCAGTGAATTGCATGACTAGGCCTCCTGTGAATTGGATGACCAGGTTTCCTGTGAATTGCATGACTAGGTCTCCTGTGGATTGGATGACTAGGCATCCTTTGAATTGGATGACTAGGCCTCCTGTGCATTGGATGACTAGGTCTCCTGTGAATTGGATGACCAGGTCTCCTGTGAATTGGATGACTAGGTCTCCTGTGAATTGGATGACTAGGCCTCCTGTGAATTGGATGACTAGGTCTCCTGTGAATTGGATGACTAGGTCTCCTGTGAATTGGATGACTAGGCCTCCTGTGAATTGGATGACTAGGTCTCCTGTGAATTGCATGACTAGGTCTCCTGTGAATTGGATGACTAGGTTTCCTGTGAATTAAGGTCTCCTGTGAATTGGATGACCAGGCCCTCTGTAAATTGGATGACTAGGTTTCCTGTGAATTGGATGACTAGGCCTCCTGTGAATTGGATGACTAGGCCTCCTGTGAATTGGATGACTAGGTTTCCTGTGAATTGGATGACTAGGCCTCCTGTGAATTGCATGACTAGGTCTCCTGTGCATTGGATGACTAGGCCTCCTGTGAATTGGATGACTAGGCCTCCTGTGAATTAAGGTCTCCTGTGAATTGGATGACTAGGCCCCCTGTGAATTGGATGACCAGGTTTCCTATGAATTGGATGACTAGGTTTCCTGTGAATTAGATGACTAGGTTTCCTGTGAATTAAGATCTCCTGTGAATTGGATGACCAGGTCTCCTGTGTCCCGAGATAATGATAAGTTATTGGTCAAGTATCATCTGACCATATCTCAAACCACCTTTAATGCAAGACCTCGAAGAGCACTGTTTGGAATCCATTTTAGAACATATTTCAACAACGTTTTCCTGTTATAACAGTGCATCTGGCATTAAACGGCTTTTGTCTTCAAGTCAAAGATTACAGTGACCTATTTCTGTAAAGCAGACAATATACTGTCTTCAAGTTAGTTACGAAGAAACCCACGCCACCTTAGAGACCCTCCTCTTCACTGACAGTATCATCCGACTCATCAGCTCCTCCATCAGCACAACCTACTTCACCAGGCAAGACAAGATACTTCAACATACCCACAGACTCCCCATGGGATCACCCTTTTCACCCATCATCACAGAGACCTGTATGACAGACCTAGAAGATAGAGCCCTCCAGACCATCACCCCCATCTGGTCCTACAGAACAGTTGACAACGCATTTGTTATCTCATAGTACCAATATTATAACAACAAATCCAAACCACATAACTTGAGAAAAACACCCCAATAAAACAAGAACAAAACATGAACACAAATACCAAACAAACCATCCAGTACTTCAGCTCCCCTTACCACTTCTTTCAAATTACCAAATTCCCAATTCATACAAATTAAATTATGCAACACTAGCGTCCGCCTTCAGGTTGCCACATCCTTTGGTCAAATCACCCCTCTTTCGATCAAATACTTAATGGCCCGGCTGGCCCGTTTGCGAAGTAGGCATTATGTCGGAAAGCGCACGTTATCTCAAAATCATAATACTGTACATCACTTGCTTGATAGCAGTGTTAGCCTCTGCACTGAAACGTCGCTTACGTTAAATAATAAAAAAGTTGTATATCTATAGAACTTTGTCCGTTGTTCGTCACACCAACTTCTAAATGCTACTCATAGAAGTTCAAGTATGGTTGTCACGTAACGAGCGTGAGTGAGTTGAGTTTTACGCCGCACGCAGAAATATTCAAGCTATATGGCGGCGGTCTGTAAATAATCGAGTCTGGACCAGACAATCCAGTGATCAATAGCATGAGCATCGATCTGCGCAATTGGGAACCGATGACATGTGTCAACCAAGTCAGGGAGCAAGACCACCCGATCCCGTTAGTCGCCTCTTACGACAAGCATGGGTTACTGAAGGTTCATTCTAACCCGGATCTTCACGGGTACACGAGACCATGCAGCAGCGCCATCAAGGTTAACCGATGAAGCTAAGCAACACCCCATTCCATTCATCATTTTGGGCAGGACGGCAAGTTTACCAACTGGTCAGCAATTCAAATAATATATGCTTGTATCAGCGTAATATAAGCAGTTCTGTACGTGAATGGGTGCACTCATAGAAAAAGACAATTTGTAATAAACTACAGTGCAATAGTAAGTGACATCATATTTTTGTTTGAATGACTATCATGGCAGAAATACTTACACCGATCACCGCTGTGTTCCTTGATGAATCGTCTAAATCCATTCTCACATTTTCCCGA